ACGGGTGTCAGAGTTGTGTGTGATGTCTACTAAATGGGAAATTGGTTAAATTTTTTCATCGATCTGAATTAATTTTCAGGTCACAAGAGCGTCACTGAAGTTCTCAGCCGTAAAGCAAACGATCTTAATATTAAAAATAAATTTAATCAGACACCTCTTCATTTGGCATCTATGCATGGTAAGGTTGACTAAATCAGATATCCCGTCGATCTCTGTCATTGATTCGTATTATTTTAGGGCACGGAGGTGTCGCTGATGTGCTTCTCAAGAATGGAGCTAACGCTGATATTGGAGATGATTCGAAGAATACACCTCTTCATTATGCTGCTACACATGGTAATCTTGAATAAGTATTTTCACAAAATAAAGAATCGGTTTGATCTTTTTCATCGATCTAAATTATTTCTAAGGTCACAAAAATGTTGCTGAACTTCTCATCAAAAAAGGAGCCAAAGTTGATGTTAGAAATCTTGCGAATCTGACACCACGTCAGTTAGCTGTTAGCCATGGTACTGCTGACTATATTAAATACCGCTTTGATCTTTTTCATTGATCTGTATTATTTTTCAGGTCACAATAATATTGCAGAACAATTGGAATAGATTCAATATGCTGCCAACAATGGTAATGTTGAATATTTTACTTTTCCGTACACTTTCTCTCTCTCTCTCTCTCTCGAAATGGAAAGATTTTTTCAATCTACGATTAAATTTTAACACTATGACGGTTCTTCTGACATTTCACATATTCCTGTTCTTTGGGGACCCCAGGGCCCCATATGTACTTCATATGAAATCTGGACTGTGATAAGAGATAACAAAATAGTGTCTGGGGCAAAGTTGTAATACTCGAGGTTTGCTATAATTTTGCTGCAACAAATATTGCTTATCCCTTATCAGTTCCGCGAAAAACCGCGAAAATCGCGGGCCCTGAATTCCCCAAGAACCGTCATAGTGTTAAATAAAACACCTTAAAGTGACTTTGCTTTTTCAAATTTCAAACATGAATCAATATGAATATTTATTTTTAAACGAAATTTTGGTTCGGATGCATTTCGACGTTTGTCATCCTCAGCGAGTATCAAATTACACTGGACTCAGCTCTATGTTTGCGATTGCGAGTGAGAGAAAAAAGAAGAAAAGTATACACAGAAAGCAAAACATGTAACAATGTGTTGTGGTGCGAGCGCACGCCAAAAAATTACAACAACTAAAACAATAAAACTCGGTGTGAACACACAAAGACACAACAAACCTCAAAATGAGACCAATTCGATTTTGATTGGCTTCAAATTTTCTGAGATTTCATTTTTTGGTGAAAAAATGAAATTCTGAAAGTTTCACGTTGATCGCGATTCACAATTGCATAAGTTTGGTTTTTGGCCCTCAATTTTTTCTCGAAATTTCCTTGAAATTTATTTTGTATGGGATGTGTAATCGATTCCGATTGACTTCAAACTCTCAGATTCTTATTTTTTTCGCCATAAATCTTAGAAAGTTCAAAGCCATTCGGAATCGATTTACAAGTACCTCCCATACGGAATTTTCAAAATTTCGACTAAAATGACCGATTTTCACTGAAAATATGCGTTTTTATACAAAATATGAAAAAAAGCACGAACAACTGTACGGAAAAAAAACGGGATTACGAATGTAATTCCCTTTATATTTTCACAAAACAAGAAATTGTTTGATCTTAAGTCGATCTGTATTTTCCAGGTGGCGAATAGCTGAATAATCGGATGATTTCCTTCGATTCCCGTTTTCGATTGTCCTGTAGAAGAATTATTCCAATACATTTTTTGTCAATCTTTGACCATATCAATTTGTGTGGTCAACAATATAAGTATTGTTGCTTTGTTCAACCATCAACTTTTCTGTTAGGCTTTTGAATAGAAGATATCATTTTGCTGTATTTGTGCAACCTTAACTGTTTGTATGTAATAAGTAGGTATCATTGGAAAAATAAACTTTTCTCAACCAGTGTCAATCACAATCACAACGTAGTTTCAACGCATACTTACTCTCTGAAAAATACCAGACTATTTAATTTACCCACTTCCACCACTAATGTAGACACTACTCAATGGAGCAACGGACTTGTCGTCACACGCGTAGATTTCACTCTATTTAGCGAATCGCTAGTTGCCGGAAAATCGTCTATGCAGTGCACTCGATATTTAACGAGAAATACTATAATATTCAGTAAGTCGAAGTGTGATTTCGTTTGCGGCGCCGCGCGTAAATAAGTCTCGTTGGATATAACGTCGTACTTCATCGTAGTAGCCATAAGTCATCCGGCTAACCGAACATTGGGATTTCACGTTAAATATCGAGTGCACTGCATAGACGATGTTTCGCCAACTAACGAATTGCTAAATAGAGTGAAATTTGTAAAAACAAAATCGAAATTTCGTTGAGAATCACCTTATTGTTTTTGCTATTGCAGCACAAAAGATACACAATTGTACTTGCTTAAAGTGAATGCACATTTCGAAACGCTCAACGGGCGTTCATCATCAGTACTGACACGACTCTCGATTTTTGCCGGTGATTTGCGAGACAATAAAATGACAACACACCAACACAACGCAAAACAGCTGGATCAGCAGCAACAAAACATTCGCCGCATCGAATCAATGCAAATAAACAGGACTGTATGTTCGCGCTTTCCGCATTCAATGCTTATATTGTGTTCCCTTAAACGATACTTAATTCTACTCATAACACCAGGAACATGAGCGCTTCAATACCTTTTATTTAAGCCATAACATGTGTTGATATCATACCTCTATCCGAAATTGCAGTACTTTTTGTACAAGATTTAGTGGAAAATAAGAGAATTTGGCTACTTTTTGAAACTTTGGTGGGCTCAAAATGACTTATATCGATTGGACCAGTACAGTTTCTTTCTGGAATCTCATAGAGCGATGTCAAACGAAGAATTTAAGTGCTATACGGTCTAAATATGTGTATTTGTTTTGTGGGAATCTTCATTGAAATGGTATAACCAAATAGAAAGTACAAGAAACTTTCGAAAACAATTGAGGAACAAAAACCAAACTTGCGCAAATGCGATCAGCATGAAACTTTCAGAATCTTATTTTTTCACCAAAAAATGAAATCTCAGGAAGTTTGAAGCTATTCGGAAACGTTTTACGGGTACCTCCCATACAAAATTTTCAAAACTTTGCCTGAAATTACTCATTTTTCACTAAAAATAATCAAAAATCGATGTAAAACCGATTGAGTATTACTCATTTGTGTTATATTTGTTAAATTTTACAGCCACAAAGCAATTAATACGGTAGAAAATGCGATAGCAGCAAGTAAAAAGTGTATATTTCATCAAAAATGACTAAAATCGATTGTTTGGAGCGATATACACGATTCGCCAGGACCCAATCATAGGTTGTTGCACATTTTTGGATTGGAATTTTCTTGTCTCATGATTCTGCAACGAATAGGCCATTTGCTTCCAAAATTCGTCAACTTTTGTCGGAAACGATGCAGTCTACTAGAGGTACCTTTCACAAGATAAATCGGCCCACATGCTATATTGCCGCTGAAAGAAAGATAACTACGACTATAATCAGGAAGATTTTCAATACAATTAAGCATAGGGTTGCTAGAGAATAGGTTCTGAACTGTCAATTCTTCCCATTTCTTTTCATTCTTAATTCAAATATATACACTAGAAGTACTCCTCACAAGAAATGTTGGCCTAAATGTTATATACCAGCAGAGATAGGATACTCAGAGTTATCATCTGGTAAAGTTTTATTGTATTTCAACGTCAAGTTTTATTGTTATGTTGTCTAGAAGTTGAAATTACATTGAAAACAGGAAAAATACAAAAATATCCCCTTTAGTGAGAACTGTATGTAGCGCGCAAGACCGCCTTTTGGTGGGCTGAAGGAAGGCGTAAATTCACGCAAGACCGCCTTTTGGCGGGGTGTGATTTTCCGAGTTTTCCGGCTAAAGGAAAACTGTATCGAGCTTTCCATTATTTTTTTGTCATTTTTGGCTCAAAATTAGCCTAGAATAAAATTCCCAGCTCTGTAAAAAAATGGCGCAGTAGAGGGTTAACACAAATAAACAATACTCAATCAATTTCACATCGATTTTTGATCATATTTGATTATTTCTAGTGAAAAATGGGTGATTTCAGGCAAAATTTCGTCAATTCGTTGATTACAAATTCTTGTGTGCGT